ATTTTATCCAATATTCTTCACTCAAGGTTAAGTCCATACATAGATGAAATTATTGGGAATCATCAGTGTGGGTTTCGACATAACAGATCAACTACAGATCAGATCTTTTGCATTTGTCAGATATTTGAGAAAAAAATGGAGTACAATGAGAGAGTACATAAGCTATTTGTAGACTTCAAGAAAGCCTACGATTCAGTTAGGAGGGAAGTATTGTACAATATTCTGATAGTTTGGGATACCCATGAAAATAGTTAAGCTGATTAAAATGTGTTTAAACGAAACTTGTAGTAAAGTCCGTATAGGTAAACATTTCTGATAAATTTCATATCCAGAACGGTCTAAAACAAGGAGCTGCTTTATCGCCACTCCTTTTCAACTTTGCTTTAGAATATGCCATTAGGAAGGGCCAGGGAAACCAGGTGGGACTGAAATTAAACGGGACACACCAGCTGTTGGTCTATGCCAGTGATGTGAATATCTGGGTGATAATAGGGATACCATAAAGAAAACACACAAACTTTAATTGACACAGGTAAGAAGGTTGATCTAGAAGCAAACACAGAGAAAACTAAGTATATGTTGCTGTCTTGTCAGCAAAATACAGGGCAAAATCATGACATAAAGATAGAAAACAGATGTTTTGAAAATGTTGCACAGTTCAGATATTTGGAAACGACAGTAACAAATCAGAACCTGACTGAGGAGGAAATTGACAGGCGATTGAAGTCCAGAACCTTTTGTCTTCTCGTCTGCTGTCCAAAAACAACAAAAAAAATTAGAATATACAAAACTAATTTTGCCTGTGGTTCTGTATGGGTGTGAAACTTGGTCTCTGACATTAAGGGAAGAGCATAGATAGAGGGTGTTTGAGAACAGAGTGTTGAGGAAAATATTGGACCAAAGAGGGATCAAGTGACAGGAGGTTGGAGAAAACTGTATAATGAGGAGCTTCATAGCTTGTACTCTACTCCAAGTATAATTAGAATTATAAGTCAAGGAGGAATGCATGTAGGGTATTGGTGTGAAAGCCAAAAGGAAAGAGACCACTGGGAAGGCCAAGGCCTCAAGCACAGCCATTGATAATATCTTTATAGATAATGCAAGGTTAAGCTCTTCTTGTACATCTCGTATAGTCAACGGCCTCTCTGACCATGATGCTCATTTTCTTACAGTAAATAATATTGCGGAAGTAAATTCAACGCCCTTGAAACAGAGAACCAGAAAAATAAATAGTGAAACCATTGCTCAAATTCAGCATCTATTAGAAAATGAAACATGGGAACCTGTTTTCAAAAATAAGAATACAAATTATAAGTACGGACTTTTAAATTGCCGGGAGCCCTCTGTGGCAGATATATAAATCACCCTAATTAATTAACATTGCTAACTTATAGAAAAAAAATGAATATTTTCCGTTCTATGCAATGTAGAAATACGAACTAAAAACAGTCTGAAAGGCAATACAATTTTCTACATATACTCAAAAGAGCAATTTTTACAAACGAAAATTAACTGTGATTATTTTGTCATGAAATGCAAAATATAATCTTTATTATATATGTTATGAAATTTCAAAGGACTTGCCCGTTTTTTTCTTCAACCTTGAATCATGGTGATATTGTAAATATAGTCACACTATATACAATAATATTTTGTTCAGACTGTACACGAACTTCTCGAAGCAGTCCACCTCACACAGAGCGACAACACCATTTTTACAATAGAAGAGCGTGCTCCTGCTTTTCTTATTTAGCGAAACACACGACGTCTTTGTCTCCTTTTGGTTGGCCAGTGTTGTGACTGTTTCACCTTCAGTCAACTCAATTTGGCCCCCTGATAACTTTGGTCTCCCCCTGCGAAACGCCACTGACCGTGATATTCGGCTTGTGCGATTGAAGAATCATCTTGGGGGAGGTGGGTTTCTAGCAGAATAGAATAAATCATGTTGATTGACAAAGCGACACTCTCACCTATTAGTAATACTTAGTAATAATTAATAATTCTTGAAAGCTGACCCCCTAGTATTGCAGTTACTGTTAATGTAGTAGACATATGTTCCCACCCCCATATTTATTTCTGTAAATGTTTGTGGAGCCGGTCACGGTAGCCTAGCGGTCTAAGGTATGCACTGTCTTCGCTCGCTCGGAAGCCGGGATCGTGGGTTCGAATCCCACTCAGGGCATGGATGTTTGTGTGCGTTTTTCTGTGTTTGTCTGCAGGTAGAGGCCTTGCGACGAGCTGATCACTCGCCCAAGGAGTCCTACCGTATGTGTAAGATCTAGAGAACCCGAAGTGAACGGAGGTCATGGAGGTAGGCCTAGGCCCACTGGGGCTGTAGTGCCAAGAAAAAAAAAAAGTCCGACACTGACTTCCTAACTGATAATTCGTCACTGAAAACCAATCCTTGAATGCGTCACACTTCCTTGAAGGCTCCGGAAGCACTCGTCTGCAAGCACCGATGAATATTTCCTCATCACTTCACGAAACAAAGCTGGGCTATATTTGGCTGACCAGGTCATAAATAGTCATATCTACATGTAAATAGTATCGAAACCAGTACCGTGATAAACGATTTCATTGTTCAGAGCTAAGGAATGAACCACTGACATGACCTCACGTAGGTTTCTTTTGGTTTAAAACCCAAGGTCAAACTTGTCAGCACTCCCAAAGAGAGCACGAGTGCTGCAGTACTGCGTTATATATACAGAGTGTTTCACGACTTTAGGGCATAACTGCAGGGGGTGATTTCCTGGGTCTTTGTGATCAAAGAAGTTCATATAAACATGTGTCCGATTTTGGACAGTTATGGAGTTATGACCGTTTTTTCATTCGCGTACACGCCCTCGTGTGAACCGCGTCTATCATCTGACGGGTCGCTATTTTTAGCCAGCTACAGACAGAGTGTTCTCGTCTCGAAACTTGAGAGGTACCTAAGGCGTGGTGGGTTGGTATGTCCGGCGCGGTTCACAACCGAGCGGCAGCCTATGTTGCGGCCGGCGGTGGCATTTTCGAAAATCAGCTTTAAGCGCCAATCAATTCAAATTAAAGGTTATTTCACGAAGTTAACTTTACATTCATACTTTAAATGTGTCATGTATTATGCTGGTTTATTACTTTGTTCCGTTTATTGTCAGTAATCGTTACCTTCTATTCTGAGTGTAAAACGGTCATAACTTCGTAACCGTCCAAAACGGACACATGTTTATATGAACTTTTTTGATCACAAAAACCTAGGAAATCACCTCCTGCAGTTATGCCCTAAAAGTCGTGAAACATCCTGTATATAACATTCGGCCAACTCGGGGTGCTGCTTGCGTCATATATATCTAACATTCGGCCGTTAAAGGTTAACTCTTTTTTTATATATTTTTCTAAATATCCTTGAAATCATTTTTCCTATGCAGAATAAAAGTGTTAAGTAGAATAAAAAACCACTGGATTACACAAGGAACAGAAATATCTTGTAAACATAGAAGGCGTCTGTATGTAGACAGCAGGATTATTACTGCTAGTAATAATCCTTACATAAGGTATTGCAAAATCCTGAGTACAGTTATAAAAAAGAGGCGAAATGGCAGCATTACTGTAGGCTTATAGCAAAATCGAATAATCAGATAAAAACAACCTGGAACAAAATAAAACATGAAACAGGAAATCACATCTGACTGAACAGATACCATCTCTCCTTATAAATGATGAAAAAGTTGAGGACCCAGGGGAAATTGCAGATGCCTTCAATAATTTTTTCTAACAATTACAGAAAATCTAAACTTGTATCAGGAAGTGGGAGATAATGTCATTTCATTTTTGAGAGAGGCGTTTCCTAGAAAATTCCCTGGTATTAAAACAATTGCAACCACCGAAACTGAAATAAAAAGTGCAATACATTCCCTCAAAACAAAGATGACGGAAAAACAAGTAAAATTTTAAAAGTTTGTGCAACTCTAATCAGTAGCCCATTAACTCACATCTGTAATCACTCACTATCCACAGGAATCTTTCCTGATCGTCTTAAGATTTCAGTAGTAAGACCACTATACAGGGTGTCCCAGGAGTTTAGTGCCATACTTCAGGAGCACACTGAGGGTTCCCCATAGAATAACTTTGAAATAACCCATGTCCGCGAACGTAAAATAGCAGCGCTAGGGCGACATTTAAAATAATTTCGTTTAAACTTGGTGCTTCAATGTCAAACTGCTTTGCATAGAGGAACAGGCATCCACAAAGCACTCGTGCCATTGCCAAGATTGTGGGGACATCAAAATCAAGTTTTTTGAGGATCCTGCATGACTAACAGCTTTATCCATATCATCCAACGTGAATACACAACATAGGTCCAGCTGACTTCACACCACGAGTTCAGTTTTGTCAGTGGATACTGAACCAGTGTTTACATCAGCCCAACTTCCTGAATCACGTGTTCTTCACACATGAAGCGCAGTTTACAAGGGATGGCTGGTTCAGCTGTCGAAACAGCCATGTTTGGGCTGACGAAAACCCCCACGTTACTGTAGTTGGTTACCACCAGGCACAATTTTCTGTCAATATCTGGGCAGGCATCGTTGGCGATCACTTGATTGGGCCTTTCCTCATACCACCGCGACTCAATGGGTCCTTTTACAAGATGTTCCTGGAACGTATCCTTCCTACTTTGCTAGAAGACGTGCCACTGATGTGCGGAGGCAAATGTGAATACAGCATGACAGAGTGCAGGTACACTTCAGCACTGTATCACGAGACTACCTTGATGCTGCTTTTCATGGTTGTTGGATAGGGAGAGGAGGCCCAGTGCCTTGGCCACCCCGATCCCCAGACTTGACACCTCTGGACTATTTCATGTGGGACCATGTGAAAAGCCTGATCTATGACATGCCTGTGGATAATGAATTCAAGCTGTTGGCCAGAATACTTGTTGCATGTGACGTGATCCGTGACACACCTGGAATATTTGAAAGGGTGCACCAAAGTTTCTTTCGTCGATGTAACGCATGCATTGAAAATGGAGGGCGCCAATTCCAACATCTACTCTAGCAGGTGAGTCTTAAGAGTTTGGAGGGAGTAATATGCCTGTGCATGCTCTTTGACATTGAGGCGCCAAGTTTAAACAAAGTTATATTAAATACCGCCCTAGCGCTGCTATTTTGCGTTTGTGGACATGGGTTCCTATTTCAAAGTTTTTCTTAAGGGAACCCTCAGTACGCTCCTGAAGTATGGCACCAAACACCTGGGACACTCTGTATAAAAAGGGGATAAGACTAGTATGTCAAACTACAGGCCAGTTTCACTGCTAACTACTTTCTCTAAAGTACTTGAAAAAGTTATGCACAATAGGTTAAGCAATTATTTTCAGAGTAACAATATACTAGTCCCAGAACAGTTTGGCTTTAGGAAAGGAATTTCCATTTCAAATGCAGCCTTTAAGTTAACAGACACTGTGTTGAAATCTATTAATCAAAAACGCATGTTGGTGGAACATTCTGTGACTTGGCAAAGGTTTTTGACTGTGTAAATCATGAAATTTTATTAACTAAATTACATTTTTTTTTTGGCATTCAAGGAACACCACTAAGTTGGTTCAGATCGTACATAACAGGTAGAAAACAAAAGATTGAAATAAAATAATCAAATTCAATCCAAAGTACCTACTCAAACTGGGGAATAATAAAACATGGAGTTCCACAGGGGTCAATTTTGGGGCGTTTGCTTTTCATAATTTATATAAACGACCTCCCTCCTACACTAAGGTCCTCATCAGTACCTATAATATTTGCAGATGACACTAGTGTTATAATTTCAGGTAAAAATTTAGATGATTTATGCATTTCAACCAAGGTTGTTTCGCAAATGAGTAAATGATTTCTGCAAACAAGTTGTCCCTGAACATAGAAAAAACAAATGTAATAAAATTTATAACAAAAAAATCACAATATCCATTAAACATAGGATATAATGATAAATATATAGAAGAGGGACTAAATACAAAATTCCTTGGCTTGCAAATTGATAATCATTTAAACTGGAAAAACTATATCGATCAGTTGATTTCCAAAGTTAAGTAAAGCATGTTGTGCAGTTAGATTCACGTTACATATTAGTAACATTGACACACTCAATTCAATCTATTTTGCATACTTTCACTCTTTAATGAAGTATGGAATAATTTTCTGCGGTAGTTCATCTGACAATAAAAGGGTATTTACATTGCCAAAGAAAATTGTTAGAATCATGAGTGTCAAAGCCCGTAATTCCTCCAGAGTTCTATTTAAGAGACTACAGATCTGAACTTTGCCTTGTGAATATATGTGTGAGAACAAGTAAACAGTGGTTGCTAAGCAATGACGCTTGCGTTGTGACACTTGCTTGAATGTGGGCAGTTCCCACATATGTATTCATTAATAAATTTCACTACAAATAACGAAGAACATTTTCAGATGAATGCAGATTTACACAGTGTTAACACAAGACAAACACTGTCTTCATAAACCAATTGCTAACCTCTCATGCTTTCAGAAAAGTGCATATTATGCTGGGATCACCATGTGTAATAACCTGTCATCTGATCTCAAAGATCTTATGAATGAAAAGGCACAATTTAAAATAGCGCTGAAACGATATTTAAATACACACTCATTCTACTGTTGAAGAATATCTATTGTCTAGAAAATAACTTATGTATCTTTAAATAGCATTGTGTGTAGTTGCTGTGTATTCTTGGTTTCTCTTGTGTGAGAACGCCATTGGGACTGTACATGTATTTTGTATTCATATGACATATTCTGCATCCTGCAGTCATTTTGACTAACTTTGGATCCATGGAATGCAATGCAATGTAATGTAATGAAATGTAGGTGGGTGGACAATATTAAAATGGATCATAGAGAGATAGGATGGGATTGTATGGATTGAATTGATCTGACTCCAGACAGGGACCAGTGGAGGGCTCTTGTGGATATGGTAATGAACCTTCGGGTTCCATAAAATGCTGGGAAATTCGTGAGTACCTGCAGATTTGGCTTCTCCTCAAGAAGGGCTCAGCTCCATAAGTAAGTTTATCTGAATGTGATTTAATACGCTCTACAGAAAGTTCTGAAGCAATATATATAAAACAGTATAGTATTACACAAACAGTAGCCATGCTTTTGAGATCAGGGAAAGAAAATTTACCCAGAGAAGAGGTAACGTTTTAGTAGATATTGTTAGGATATGAGACTCAGCGCCCGATTTTTATGTGGAAGGTGCTAAGTATGAAATTGGAAATATCGGGAAAGCCTACGTTTTGGAAGTTTGCAAAGTGAATAAGTTAGGGAAGAGTGATGCATCCACTGATAAAATTTATAAGCTTACAGTCCCTTGATTTTCAACTGCAGATCAGTTTCACAGGTGTGCTGTGGAAATAAGGGACACAAAGGGCAATTTGGTAAGTAAAAATTCACTTCTATATAGCCTCAGATGGGTGCCCAGTAACATAGTTGGTTGAGACACTATGCTACAAGCCTGAAGGTCGCGGGTTCAAGTCCAGATGAGGTGGATTTTTTTAAAAAAAGACTGTCTCTGTGGTCTAGTGGTCAGAGTTCCTGGCTACAGATCCAGAGGTCCGTGTTTGATTTCCGGCGCTACTAGATTTTCTGAGAAATAATGGGTCTGCAACAGGGTCCACTCAGCTTCGTGAGGATAATGAGGAACTATTTCAAGGATATTGTGGCTCCGGCCTAGAAGACCGAAGTTAACAGCTCTGGGGATTCGTTGCTCTGACCACGCGACACCCTCTATGCGCTAAAGTTGGCACTAACTTGAACGGCAAGCGGCAGTTGCTTGGTCAATATAGTTCACTTGCGGACTAAAATCACAAAGTTTTTTATAGCCTCAGATTTAGTGATCTCAAAGAATATAAGACTATGAACTCTTTAATTTCACTGAATCATGTGCTCCTGTCACCAGATATTTCCTTCATGAAATATTTAGCAAATGTTAGCCTACATTGAGATTGTCATGAGTAATTATTGCTACAAGCTGTTTGTACATCTGCTGGACTAGATATTCATTTTTATTTCCTTGGGAGTGTGTTGACCCTCACAGAATTTACCCTGAATACGTATTTCCTGTCAGTAATTGTGTACACACATGATGCATGTGCAGATCCTAAAGGAAACAGTTATCGATTGGCGTGAAAGAAGATTGGTCAGTAAATTGTACATGGATCAGAAGTTAGAGTGTGACTGGACAGAAGGGAGACAAGAAGTGTGAAGATTGGAAGAGGAGTTCAACAAGGATGCTGTTTATCACCAATTTTGTTCAACTTGTACAGCGAATGCCTTACCAAAGAAGCTCTGGATGGGCTTTGAGACTTCAAATTAGGAGAGCAAATTATTCAAACTGTGAAATATGCAGATGACCTTGTGTTAATGACTAAGGAAGAAACTGTGCTACATGGTATGATTGATAGGCTAATCGAAATCGGAAGGTGCTATGACATGGAAATGAATGTGGAAAAAACAAAAATAATGAAAATTTCGAGACAACCAACCCCAGTCACAATAAAGATAGACCAAAAACAACTGGAGAATGTGAAATATTTTAAATATTTGGGTAGCTTGTTAACAGATGATGGAAGGTGTACGTGTGAAATTAAATCTAGGATTTCCATGGCAAAAGCTGCATTTAGCAAGAAGAAGAATCTTTTTACCAGCAAATTGGACTTAAATTTGAGAAAGAAACTACTGAAATGCTGCATTTGGAGCATTGCTTTGTATGGGGCTGAAACTTGGACACTTAGGACAGTAGATCAAAAACCCCTGAAAGCTTCAAAATGTGCTGTTGGAGAAGGTTGGAGAAGATCAGTTGGACCGATTATGTGAGTAATGAAGAAGTGTTATTTAGAGTCAGTGAGCAGAGGAATATCCTACACGAAATAA